GGCCCTTGGGTTTAAACCCCAGGAAAAGAACAACGAAGTGAGATCCCAGACCTGCATTTAGCACAACTTCAATCAATCATTACTAATTTACAAAACGACTTTCTTTCTTTTTTTTTTTTTTTTTGCAATTAAAGTTCTTAAAATACTTTTTGTTGTAGGATCCAGGATCCTGGAAGTTATGAGGATTTAAGTGGAGACAACAGAATTAAACAGCAACATGGCAATAACAGGAAGCTTTTTCCAACCAGCTTATACTGTGTAAACCACTGATCTTTGTAAACAAAGGCTAATAATATTACTTGTGAGATAAAATAATTATAAAAGACAGCAAACCATACTTAGTTGCCAGTTTTTCCTCATATTCACTTCAGTCATAGTAACCAGATATGGAGACTTCACTGGAACAAACTTGTTGTCACTGAAAATTTCCAAAGAAATTGGATATTGTGCAACTGGAAACTTAAAACGAGGAACCTAAGATACAAATTCCAAGAGTGTTTATCAGTTCAGAGAATTCAATGGTAATGTCACTTCCTGGTCAGGAATGAATAGACATATTCTTAATACTTTGGCTATTTTAAGTGAAAACTGTGTTTTAGGCTTTCCGCATCTGAGTCCTGAGAAAGCCTGCTTACAGCAAAAGCCATGGGAACCCCCAAGGCATTATACAAACACTGTGGTGATGAAATTCTTAGTTTTTGACTGACCTTTTCACTGGCATTTACTCTCATGTCATTTATATTTTTTCTCTGTCTTTGCGAAACCATATCCCCTGAGGCCCAGAGTGAATTGTGCCTCACCCCCGCCAGCCATTATCTTTTAGGCTTGGTCGCCAACGCAGGCTCTGGATTCAGTATTCAAATTCAGCTTCAGTGCTTATTTTCTTTTTGAGACAGTCTTACTATGCAGCCTAGCACTCATGGTGACCCTCTTGTCTCAACCTCCCAAGTGCTACGTGTGTTCCTTTGTGAAATGCAAAGTGGTACAGGTATTTCTATTAAGTTTTACAGGTAAATTTAATGAACTCATCCAGGCACACTTAAATCCAGATCCTTTTAGCTCCGTGTTATAGTTAGTCCTGTGTCAGACATTATTCCCATGTCTGAGTTTTCATGTTTAACCAAAAGGCACATTTCCAACTTGCACTAATATCAAAGTACTCTGAGTTCAGATAATTGAAAACAGCTTACATTTTCTTTGCAGTCTGAGAAAGCAACAGCATGTGACAATTTCTGCTCATTTGTGCAGTTACACTGTTCTCGAGTGGAAGCATTGACACATTGTTTGTATTTACCAGTTTCCTGCAAACAGAAGTAACAGATTGATTTGCTTTTTTGTGTTGCAAGATTTCTGAGAAATGAGTAGATGTTCAGCATATTTTTTCCCTGAATAAATAATACTCCTGGTGAGTTAAAAGGAAGGAAATCCACTAATAATAAAAATAGCAGGGGCTGGAGTGCAGCTCAGTGGTAGAGTACTTCCCTAGCGTGGACAAAGTCCCAGGTTTGATACCTCGCACTGCAAAAAGTAGTTAAAATAAAATAAGAGAAAAGTACAACAGTTCTGAGTTTTTTTTGTTTTTATTTTTTTTTCTTGACAGGGTTTACTATGTGGTTCAGGCTGGCCTAGAGCTCACTTTGTAGCCCAGGGTGGCCTTGCATTTGCAGTGATCCTCCTGCCTCAGCTTCCCTAGTGCTGGGAGTACAGGCATGTGCTACCAAATC